TGCTTTTCGTGAAGCGCTTTAGAGTCGCTCTGCGTGTGACCCTGATAGCCCTCGTTGCATGACCGCCGTTTGGAGCCGCTCTGTCGAGCCACGGTTTCCTCCATTGTTAGCCGCACCCCCGCTGTTCGAACCCGCTCGGTCCGTGTCCGCCACAGTCAGCGTATCACTGCCGTCTTGGCCGCTTTGTCCGCGCCATTCGGAGTCGGCGCACGGCGCTGTCAGCAGTGCTCATCATTTGCAGTTGGCTCACGACGCCGGTGGTCCGGTGGCGGCCCGCTCGCCGTCGGCTGGCGCGCCGTTGTTTTCGCCGCCGGCGCGCGCTAGGGCTGGGCACGCGCCGGCACCACAACTTTACGATATTGGCTTTCATTTTACACACATGGTGGATTTATGGCGACACTTAGTCGGCGCCGCCCTCGGGGAGCGCGCGGCGCGAGGTCGCGTAGGCTGGAGGCCGTGTGCAGCCGATGCTGGTCCGGAATGCGGCCGCCGGGCTTCAGAGGCGTAGGCACGGCAGAAAGTACAGGGGGAGTACATGTGCGGCAGGGGGAGTACATGAGCCAAGTTTTATCATGTCAGTCCTTTTCATGTGCAACTGCGGGCAGTGCAATGGAAAATGTTCAATGTTCAATTTCCACACAGACTTGGGTCAGGGCCTTCCACTCCCATAGATGTGACATCCGTGCGAGGTTCGGATGAATCCGGTCGCGCACTTTCGTTAATTCATGCTGCGCACTTTTCTGCTGAGCGTTATGCGCAAAATTTCATTTTTCAATCATGTATGCACCCTTGCGGCATGTGATCGCCTTACCACGCGTTACGTAAGCTGTGATGTGCTGTGACACGTTGTGATATTGCACTAGGTACCCTGATTGGTCAGAATACGCCTCGCTGAACGCAAGCTCATGCAGAGACAATTGATATTTCATACAGATCGGTAAGCCCTTCACCTGAGTGTTAAATTAGAAATACCGGAAGTGCCGACACCTCAAACATGTGCAATATCCGGAATTGTATATTTAGGTACCGTAGAGCCTGTCTACCACTTTGCAGCCCAATTCAGCAACCAGGCTGCAGCTAAATTATCTATTTAAACTATTACGCGCTGATGCTCATCCACTTACAGCGGTGTGGTTGTTAACCGTCACCGAGTGATGGATATAGCCTGAGCTGTACCTCCCGAAACAACGGACGAACAGTCAACGATTGCTTGCAACAGCTATAGCTAGAGTGAATCTCAAGATGCACTCAATTCGTATTTTTACAAGCTTGCACTCTTGCGTGCTTCCAATCTACCACATACGGATCATCCGTCAAATACCACTAGATACACTCACAGGTGCCGGATACCCATGCCGGCGCCGGCTGATAGCTCACCACTCCCTTCATGGTGGGCCGACAGCGGTGCAGCCGCGGCCGCACACCGACCCCCCCCCCCCCCCCTCCTCCCGTAGTGGTCCAGCGGCTGCCGCGCTATCGCCGCCTCCAGACAGGCCCGCTGTACCGGGGTGTTCGGGCGTTGCCCGGCAGGCCAGCGACCGCCGCCGCCTCCTGCCCCGGCCAGGCTGGTCCGGGCGTACCGGGGCGTTCGCGCTCTGCCCGGCCGCCGCCGCCTCCTGCCCCGACCAGACTGGTCCGGGCGTACCGGGGCGTTCGCGCTCTGCCCGGCCGCCGCCGCCTCCTGCCCGGCCAGACTGGTCCAGGCGTGCCGGGGCGTTCGCGCTCTGCCCGGCCGCCGCCGCCTCCTGCCCCGGCCAGACTGGTCCGGGCGAGAGAGCTGCGCAGCCCTCTCGCCAGAAAGGTCACTGGGCCAGCGCGCACACAGGAAACTTGGGGCGCCCGGCGCCATTTAAAATTTATGACATGTCAGACGACGGCTTCAGCAACCGGCGTAAATATTCTGTCACAATTAGAGGCTTCTTGAACATAGTTTACAGACTCCATATTATCCAAGCATCATCTGGCTTCAGCACTTCCAGGCGTGAAGTTTCTTAAGTGATTAATAACTCGTTGCTTCAGCGAGAAATTGCAACTTTTAAATCCTGATTTTTAAAAAAGAATGTGTCAACGTCAAGTCTTGCAAGTTTTGGTAGTCACATTTGATTAAAGGCGTAAGTGGGACTCATCTTCAATATTTGGTAATACACCAACCAAAAAACACGCATCATACTTTAAACGATTACCTTAAAGAGAGCCGACGTGAGGCATGTCCGCCTGTCGAAGTCTGAGTTACAGTAGAACTGAAGGCTGAGTGCATGCTCAACATTTAACAGTCATGCATGCCTTGCATGCATTGCATTGCATGCATGCATTCGTCCATCCCTTTAAAATATGCCGTCATACGTAAACTGCGCGCCATTTCATAAAGTTCATGGCAAAGCTCTCTAATGTTTGTACATACAGTTATCCGAACAATCCTTTTTCTTTCAGAAATTGCAACGCTGTACGATACGTGATCAGGCATGCAACCTACCGCCTGTACAGTCCTCATCTGAGTCGAATGTGTAGGCTTCCATGGTCTCATTCCATTATGCATACTGATCGCCAACCCATGGACTGTTTGTTTGAATTTTCTTCACTCTAGCTTAGAGTCCAAACGCCGGTATACCACGATAGCTAACTGGCTGTATTGGACGGCGTAGGTACTGCATGCGCGTCTGTGTGTGTGTGTGTGTGTGTGTGTGTGTGTGTGTGTGTGTGTGTGTGTGTGTGTGTGTGTGTGTGTGTGTGTGTGTGTGTGTGTGTGTGTGTGTGTGTGTGTGTGTGTGTGTGTGTGTGTGCCTGTTTGTGTGTACGTGCCTGCGTGCGTCTATGCGTGTGTGTGTGTGTGCGTGCGTGCGCGCGAACGCTTTTCCCTGATACCTGTCATTTTGAAGTCAAACGAAGCGTGTCGGTCGGGATGTTTGCCAAGGGTCGGATCAGTACCGGCTCACCGCCCGTGAAGACAAAACAGGCTGAAAATGGAGCGCTGGGATCGCGCCGAATGCAGTAGGCTTCAAAAGGGGCCTCCTGATCACCCCGTCGTCAGCGCCTTTGATCGCTAACATGGGCCGATACGGCGCGGCGGAGGCCGACGAGCCGGCGGCCGGAGGGGGGGGGGGGGGAGGAGGCGCCCGCTGCGCCGCTGGAGCTGACTGCTGATCGTGCTGGAGCTGGGCGCCGCCGTGCTGGACCTGCGCCGCCCAGCGGCTCAAGCCCGATGTTTATTATGCATTACATAGAGTCGCACCAGCGTCTCGGTGGTACTCCCCCGGCTGACGCTCGCTCCCGTCCTCGCTGCGCCGTCCGCCTCCTGCCGCGCTCCGGCCGGGCCGCGCCGCCGCCTCTGGTGCGATCCCCGCGCCGGGCCGGGCTAAGCCGCAGCGCTCGCGCGCCGGGAGCTCGCCGCCTGCCCGCTTCGGCGCCGATTAGCCCGTCACATCCAGCCGGCGCCCTCAGCATGCAAATGTGCCCGGCGGCGAGGCGGCCGGCGGCAGCGGAGCGCCTCCTGACCCGGCCGGCGGCGCGAGATGGCCGCCAGCGGGACGCCGCCGTTGGCCGCTCTGGGTGGGAGCTCGGGTCAGCTGGGTTCAGGGGCCGCCCGGGGCGCGTGGCGCTCCGGCGAGCAAACATTTACTTGTGACCGAGTGATAAGCGAAGTGCCGCTGGTAGGTCGGTGGCTCAGGGTCTCGATGTTGACTTTCGTTAGGTTGACATCTGAGGGTACTGATGTTGACCTTTTTGTGAGGTCGATATCTCAGGGTTCCGATGAAGACTTTTGCTACAAGGTCGACATCTCAGGGCCCCGGTGATGACCTTTGTTAGGTCGACAGCTCAGCGTCCCAGTGTTGACCTTTGTTAGGTCGACAACTCATGGTCCCGGCGTCATGTACTGTGCTTGACCGCTCAGCTGATCTGTGTTGATCCGTGTCGGCATACCACATCCAAGTGCCCTGTATAACGCCACATCCCCGCCCTCTCAATATGCAACCCACGCGGCTGCCAAATCTGTGCTGCCAGATCCGCAGCGCCATCATTTTGCTGAAAAATCAAATCCTTCTCGCCCATTACGCGATTCGTTATACCGGCTGAAGTATTCGACAGTCGCTACGCGGAGCGTTAAATTAGAAAAATGGCCCAGAATGATGTCTTCATCTTCTCGCTCGAAATGAGCGTGTGGACGTGGCGGGAGCGGTGGCCGTAGCCCGTGCTGCCAGTGGCGAGTCCAGGTGGGGGGAAAAGGCCACCCCGCGGAACGTCAAGATCTGCCTTCATCTGTACCCGATATAATTAAACAACTGGATTCAACAGCGTCATCACTGACGACGCACGTGGTCTCCTGGCTGGTGGACTCGTCCGCATGAGAAGCGTGCCTCGATCCGCCGCCGTCTGACGCGCTGCTGCCGCCCGGTCCGGCGCCTCGCCGGATTATGGTGGGATCCCGACAGTGATTTATCATCCGCGTCACTGGCGACTGTCCGGGGTTTTACCCGTGTGTAGGCGGCTGCTCAGCCGAGCCGGCGTTCAGAGACAATGGAGACTGGAGAGACGACCGGCGCCACCGGCGCCACCAGATAGCGACCGCCCGGCGTTATAGATGGCTCGCGCAGCTGATAGTGCGATGCAAAGGCATGGTGATGATCGCGTGATACCGCGTTACTGTTTGCACTGGCATTGCAGCACCCAGACGACAATACGATAAGAGCTGTAGGCGGGCGGGAGGATAGCGGAAATATCCATTCGCTGGCTCGCGGTTACCATGGATACGCGCTGCCTGCGGGCGGCATGCTTGCGATGAGACTTTGGTGCTTTCATCCGTCGGTGCAGCTGTCCTCGCCAGCCTCACTTCTGAGCCGGCCTCAGCGGACACCAGACACCTGCCAGTTGTGCCGCAACGCCTCGCAGTCGGTGTGCAGTCACGGGGTGCGGGCTGGCCGAGGTCCGGCTGTCTGCCGTCTCCGGCGCCGCCGCGTGCCCCGTCCGTGGCCTCGTGTGAGAGCGGCGCGTGTCTCCTGTTTCAGAGGCGGTGTACGGGTGCCGAGCACGCGCCGTCCGAGACCACAGGGACGCCAGTGACCCGCAGTCGCTCAGCTTCAGCCGGGGTGACGTCATCACGGTAAGTGCGGGGTGACGTCATCACGGTGAGGGTGGGGTGATGTTATCACGGTAAGCGCGGGTTGACGTTATCATGGTGAGCGGTGACGCACTTCAGTGTGAGCCATGAACTGGAGACTGAAGTGACCGTCTGCTGGATATCGACGTTGGATTCGACGAATTGGGGCCGCTTGTATGGATCGTGTTGAAATCATAATGCGATCAATGCAATGAGGCACCACAATCCTTCCAGCTACTAAATGCACAGACAATGGTAGCGAACTATTATGACGGTCAGACACTGGCGCATGTGTGATGAGTTCAACATGACCATGTTGGGCCAAAAGAAACAAAGCTCATGACACCGTCAACATTTTACTGCGGATTCTGCCCGCCCTGGTTGGGCTGTTGGCGCTTTGAACACCTCTGGGTTTACCTCTGGACCAATTAAGCCTAACAAGCCGCCTTCTATGGCTGGCCGGATTCGAGGGCACGGTCTTTGGTCCTGGCCCAGAGGGACCCGCCGTCGGGCTGCTGACCTGACCGCCTTGGGCGAGCGTCACACCCCTCGCACCGGGGTATACCATGGCGTCAATCACTAAATCACAATAAACATAATGTATAATGACATGACGTCGATCGACCGGAGCGGCAGCCGACCACCGGCGTCACTGGGGATTCTGGGGCCTTGTTCCTGTGCTGGCGCTCGCTTACGTCAGCGAGCGTTGAAGGCAACGGCTGGCATTTTCAGAGCCGGACGGCGGGAGAGTCAAACATTCAGCTGAAATGCCGAACGCATGATCAATTTTGCAAACAAGAAGAGATCAATTCTGGCTGCTGCAGGCTAGTAGCCAGAAGTCATGGATGTCATGTATAATGTATGTTTCGCTGCGGCGGTCTAAATTCATCCCCGTTTGCTGGTGGTTGAACCGAGCGATACGGAGGTCGCTGACCCGTGGGCTGCCCGCGGTCCCGGCGTCACTGCCACGAAACAGAGGAGCTGGAGACGAGTCCCATCACAGAGCGCCGTGTCACGCCATGCTGCACCACAGCACAGCACAGCGCAGCACCGCACAGCACATGTCACCTCAACTCGCCTCACCCGGCCTGACCTGACCTGACCTGACCTGACCTGACCTGACCTGACCTGACCTTGCCTCGCCTCACCTCACCTCGACTCACATCACCTCACCTCACTTCATCTTACCTCATCTCAGCTCATCTCATCTCAGCTCACCTCACCTCACCTCACCTCACCTCACTTCACCTCACCTCACCACACCTCACCTCACCTTTTCTCATCTCATCTCGTCTCATTTTATCTCACCTTACCTTACCTAACCTTACATCACCTCACCTCATCATCTCAGCTTACCTTACCCCACCTCACCTCACCTCACCTCACTTCACCTCACCTCACCCCACCTCATTCACATCACTTCACCTCACATCACCTCACCTCACCTGATCTCACTCACCTCACCTCATCTCACCTCACATCATTCACCTTACCTCATCTCAGCTCACCTCACCTTACCTCACCCTTCCTCACCTTATTTCAACTCTACTCAGCTCATCTAATCTCGTCTTACTCCATTCTAATCCACTCCAGCCTCTCCACACGCACACCACACCACGATACATCACACCACACCACACCACATCACGCCACACCGCACCGCAACAAAACGCAACACACCACGCTACACACCGCACCACGCCACACCATGCCACGCGGTATCATGCTACTATTTTTTCGTGCTGCACTTCCCGCTGCACCAAACCATCCCACAAAGTGCAATATGATGTCATGTCGTTTCATTTCGATTTACACCATTCCATCTTCGTCATGACATCTCATGCCATGTCATGACATCTCATACTATGTCATGCCATGCCACATGCCATACCATGCCCTGCAGCATCCCTTGGGGTGGAACTGGATTCATCCATTGCTCAAACCTCGTCATCTCGCATTGAAAACTCATTACTTTCTCTCCGTTGGCTGCGCGCTGTCACCCTTGAAAGGCCACAAGACAGGCAGGTGCTCCTCACACCACCACTGTGGTGGGAGGAGTGCTGGTGGTGGGAGGACTGTGGTTGTGGGAGTGGGAGGAAGCAGTCGCGTGCTCCAGCGCCCCAGGCCAGCCCCGCACCCCATGCTCCAGTGCTCCAGCTCAGCCCCGCGCCGCATGCTCCAGTGCTCCAGGCCAGCCCCGCACCCCATGCTCCAGTGCTCCAGGCCAGCCCCGCACCCCATGCTCCAGTGCTCCAGACCAGCCCCGCGCCCCATGCTCCAGCCCTCCAGGCCAGCCCCGCACCCCATGCTCCAGCGCTCCAGGCCAGCCCCGCACCCCATGCTCCAGCCCTCCAGGCCAGCCCCGCACCCCATGCTCCAGCCCTCCAGGCCAGCCCCGCACCCCATGCTCCAGCGCTCCAGACCAGCCCCGCGCCCCATGCTCCAGCGCTCCAGACCAGCCCCGCACCCCATGCTCCAGCGCTCCAGACCAGCCCCGCGCCCCATGCTCCAGCGCTCCAGACCAGCCCCGCGCCCCATGCTCCAGCCCTCCAGGCCAGCCCCGCACCCCATGCTCCGGCGCTCCAGGCCAGCCCCGCGCCCCATGCTCCAGCCCTCCAGGCCAGCCCCGCACCCCATGCTCCAGCGCTCCAGGCCAGCCCCGCGCCCCATGCTCCAGCGCTCCAGACCAGCCCCGCGCCCCATGCTCCAGCCCTCCAGGCCAGCCCCGCACCCCATGCCTGGCCGTCGTGTGACGCACGGCGCGCCAGACCGCCCCGTGCAGTGTCTGTTTGCTCAGCGGGTGTTTCCCAGGGTCGGGAGAGGGATTATATCAGCTGGGACATCGGCGCGCCGGCCGTACAATAACAGCGCGCCGTTTCCGCCGCGGCGCGCGGTCTGCTGACGGCCGCGCCAGAATGGCCGCCGGGCGGGGGCTTTAGGTCACACTTGGAACGGGGAGAACGATGGCATAAAATGTGGCCGGGGGAAAGATAGAACAGGGAATGGTTGAGTGTTTTGATTAAAGAAGGAAAATAAAGTTGGTCGACGCGATCGCTATTCTCTATCATGATCCGGATGAGGATAACGCTGAGAGAATGGCACGTTTTCCCCATGGTAACTCTGTTGACTCTAGTGTGGAAAAGCTGCAGTGCCTCTAGAGCGCTGCTGGGCTGGACCACTGAGAGGAGATTTGTACTAAAATGTCATCTGGCTTCCTTACACATTGATTCACAATATGCGTAGCGAATAAAGGCGATCTTATACGGCTCTTACTACCCCACCGAAACAATACTTTTTGCACATGCGTTATCTTATGATACGACGCCCGCAATTTCCATCATGACACCTAGAATGTCTTTTTTTACGAAATTTGGATGCGTAAAATCTGTCGAAGTAAATTAGCACCGAAGCTACTTTCTGCACCCCCTGGATGAATACACCGGTCCTGAAAATTAACGACAAACAACGTAATTAGTTTTTAGCAATGACGGAACTTTTTACTTTCTGGGACGAGAGCAAACAATCTTGACAACATTCCGACACTTCCCGACACATTCCGACACTCCGGCCGTTGCGGGTGTTTCGTGCGCCGAGCGCGTGCTGTGATGCGTGGCGGTGAGCGCAGGCCTCCCTGCCGTGGGGAACGGTACAAACTGCCAGCGGACAGTCGTTCCGCCCGTCGTATTTCAGCCCGTCACGCAGATAAGCGTGATTTAGCATGGGGACGGGGAAACGGGGCAGTTTTACGGAGGCGCCGACCTCCCGCTGTTGCAGAAACGCGATGTCACGCCCACCGTCAAACAGGAAAAGCTTTTGGTAAAACATGCCCACCAACTCGCTGCCCGCTGTCTCCAACGTCCCCAACAGTAACCCCACGCAAGCTTCTCAACGTTTTCCACAATACTAGTCGCGTGGTCCCCCACCTCAAACACCTCTCTTCCGGTTGTGTTCCCCCCCCCCCTGCAGCGGGCACTCCCCCCCCCCCCGGCAGCTGGCCCTCCCTCCCCGGCAGCTGACCCTCCCTCCTCGGCAGTGGACCCTCCCTACCCTGGATGAGTTACCGCGCCCTGACTCACCGGCGGAGCGCCGATCCCTCCTGCAGAGAGAGCGACGCTCGACCCTAGATCAGCCCTCCTCCCCGCTACCATTAGGGCGGTCTGCTGGCGCGCCGTGTCCGGCACCCCTGTGACACACTCCCTCCCTCCCCCACACTCCCGCTCTCACCCAGGCGGAGCTGCGGCGGCTCTGATTCACTCTCGTCCGAACTGAAGCGTATTTCATGATGTAATGGCTCCGTGCCATGCAAAGGTCGTAGATTTCGGCCGCTGCCGGCCGCGAATTTGCCCTTTTACACTCCATAACTTTGGAGGGCTGTGCCACTACATTTATCATAGGAGTTTCATGTGCTGAAAATGTTGGAATGGCCGTCGCGACCTGTAAATGTGTTGCAAGCTGCAGTTCTTAGATTTAACAGCATCATCGATGATTTTTACCATGAGAATGCGATGTCTTCACTTTCTGTCGAGGCTTATCGCGGTCGAAACTTCTGACCCATTACTGGAATGAGCGCAAATGGTATACTATCGGTTTGTGATCAGAATGCGCGATCCACTGGCAGCTAATTTTGGCGGTCCGTTTACCAGGCGTACTTCTGATTGTGTTTGGACGGCACTGCATCGTCACCCCACCACGGCATCGCGCATGGGGCCTTGTGGGGCTGCAGCGAGTGATAGCGAGTTAGCAGCGAGTGACTGCGGGTTAGGCTGGGCGAGGCGCCCGGCGTGATCCTCTCGCTGGCCCGTCGCCCGCGGCCGGCCTGCGGTCGCGGTCGGTTTGCCCTTCCATTAGGCCGGATGTGTACATTCCGACCCGTGCGCGGCGCGGCATGGCGGAAGGGGAGGGGAGGGCGGCCGAGAGTGCCGGCCCTCCCAGGAGTCCCCGGAGTCGAGAGCCATGTTTGGCTACCTCTCGTCTGACATCCGATATTCCGGGATGGATATTTT